TGGTTTTTAATTATGAATTCAATTTCTGTAGTAGACATAAAAGATCTGAAAATGCCCGTTTTTCTGGTGTCCTTTTCAAAAACAACTTCATGGAAATAAAAATCACATACCTTACAAGTCACACATTTAAAGTAGTCAGTGGTTTTTAGTATATTCACTATTGTGCAATCATCACCACAGTCAATTTTAGAACATCTTTATCACTTAAAAAAAACTCCATATCATTAACTATCACACACCCCTCTCCCAACATACCCCCAGCCCTGCCCTAAGCAACCACTAATCTACATTTTGTCTCTATAGATTGGCTTAGACTGGACATTTCAAATAAATCAAATTGTATAATCTGTGGTCTTTGTGACTGTTTCTTTCACTTTGTATAATGTTTTCAAAATTTTTTTATACGGATACATCACATTTTGTTTATACCCTCATCAACTGTTGGGCTTAGGGTGTTTCTACCTTGGCTGTTATGAATAGATTGCTATTAACATCAAATACATAGATAGGTAGATACGTAGATATGTGGATATACACACGTACTTGTATGAACACCTGTTTTTCATTTCTTTAGGGAATAAATCTAGGCGTGGGATCACTGAGTTATATGATAACACTACATTTATCTTATTGCCAAACTATTTACCACAACAACGATACCATTTTACATTCCCATGGGCAGTGTATTAGGTTTCCAAATCGTCCACATTGTCACCACCATTTGTTTAACTTTTTTGTTATCCTCACCCAAGGATGTGTTTATTGATTTTTAGAGAAAGAGAGAGAAACATTGATCAGTTGCCCTCCATATGTGCTCCATTGGGATCGAATCTACAACCAAGGTATGTGCCCTGACTGGGAATTGAACCTTCAACATTTTGATGTATAGGATGATGCTCCAACTAACTGAGCCAGCTGGCCAGGGCTAACTTTTTGTTGTTGTTGTTTTTAATTATGACCATCTTAGAGTGTGAAGTTGTAACTCACTGGAGTTTTAGGTTTTGATTTGCATTTCCCTGACAATAATATTGAGCATCTTTTCATGTGCTTACTGGCCATTTGTGTATCTTTTAAATATATATATATATTTAAAATATATATATTTCAGAGAGGAAGAGAGAGATAGAAACATCAATGATGAGAGAGAATCACTGATTGGCTGCCTCCTACACAACCCCCACTGGGGATCAAGCTCACAACACATGCATACGTCCTCGACTGGTATTGAACCTGGGACCCTTCAGTCTGCAGGCCGACACTCTATCCACTGAGCCAAACCAGCTAGGGCATTTGTGTATCTTTGAAGAAAAGTCTATTCAGATTCTTTGCCCATTTTTAAAATTAGATTTTGTTTTTGTTCAGTTGTAAGAGTTATTTATATATTCTGGCTACTAGATACTCCTGGATGATTACGTCCTGATAAATCCATTGTTAAGTTGAAAATATATGTAAAAAATGCATTTAACATACCTAACCTATGGAATGTCATAGTGAAGCTTCTCCTATTTTTAGCATGCTCAGAACACTTACCTTAGCCTTCAGTTGGGCAAAATCATATTACACAAAGCCTATCTTATAATAAAATATTGAATAGCTCATGTAATTTATTATGTATCACTTCCACACTATTAATAAGTAAGAAAATTGTAAGTCAAACCATTGTAAGTCAAGGTTTCTGTATATAATTCATGAATATTTCTTCTCATTCTGTGGGTTGTCTTTTCACTATCTTGAATGTGTCCTTTGATGCAGTTTTTAACTTTTATTAAATCCAAATTATTATTTTTTCTTTGGTTTCTTCTGTTTTTGGTGTAGCATCTGGGAAAGCATTGTCAAATCCAAGGTCATGAAGATTTATCTCCCATTTCTTCCAAGAGTTTCATACCTTACACTTATATTTAGGTCTTTGATTATTATGAGATAAATTTTTTAATGTGGTATGAGTAGGATTTCAATTTCATTCGTTTGCATGTAGCTATCCAGTTTTCCCAGCATCATTTGTTGAAAAGACTATTCTTTTCCTATGAAATGATTGCATGAATGAGTTTATTTCTAGACTATTAGTTCTATTCCATGAATCCATATATCTGCACCAGTACCACACTGTCTTAATTACTGTTGCTTTATAATTAAGTTTTGAAACCAGGAAATTCAAGTCCTCAAACTTTGTTATTCTTTTAAGATTGTTTTGGCTACTCAAGGGTCCCTTGTGATTTCAATATGAATGTTAGGATTGACATTTCTACAAAATAAGCCATTGGGGTTTTGATACAGATTTCACTGAATCTGTAGATCACTTTTGTGAGTATTACCATTGTAACAGTATTAAATCTTCCAATCCATAAACATAGGATGACTTTCTATTTACTTAGGTCTTTAATTCTTCTTAGCAATGTTTTCTAGTGTTGAATGCCTAAGTATTTGACATTGTAAATTCAATTGTTTTATTACACTTTTTGTAGTTCATTGTTAGTATATAGGAATACACTAACAATGAACAATAAATGGTTTTAGTGTGTTCATTTTGAATCCTAAAAGTTGCTGAATTCATTTGTTAGCTCTAATAGATTTTTGTAGATTCTTTAATATTTGTAGACATTAATTTTCAATTTGCCCAGCTTTTTTCTTGTAATGATGTTACTACAGTCATGCGCCACATAATGATGTGCATATATAATGCTGGTATACCATATAGCCTAGGTGTGCTTTCGGCTATACCATCAGGTTTGTGTAAGCACACTATATGATGTTCACACAGCGATGAAATTGCCTAAGAAAGCATGTCTTAGAACATGTCCCCATTGTTAAGTGGTGCGTCACTGCACTGCTCCTTTCAGCTCTACATCTCTGAGCAAAAATTCAAAGCCACTCTGGATGCAATTTTTTTCTGATTTTGTGAGACTTACTGTGTTTGTATTTTAGTGTGAAAAGTGCTTAAGACTAATTTATGTTATGATCAGGTTATCCTATATATTTCACTAGTCAAGTTGGTCAATCATTTAAATTTTCTGTAACAGTGGCCAGCAAACTTTATGTAAATGTTAGATGGTAGGCTTGTTGTAACTACCAAACTCTACAGTTTTAGTGCTATAGCAACTATAAATAACACGTAAGCAGAGGAATGTGACTGTGTCCCAATAACATTTTACTTATAAAAGAACCAGCAGTGGTTAGATTTGGCTTCTGAGCTATAGTCTGCTGACCCCTCTTCCAATTACCTTTTGTTTGTTTTTCATACTGCTTGTCCTGTCAGTTACTGAGTTGTGTGAAAATCACTAATTATAACTGCGGGTCTGTCTATCTAATTTCTGTTAACTTTTATTCATATACAGTTAATTGTAATTATTCTCAGTAGTTATGTTCTAAGTTACCACGAACACTGAATAAGCAAATACTGAATTTTTACTCCGAGGGGAAATACAGGGTCAGGTTCCTTTGAGCCTCTGGTCACAACATTTGGGACAGTCAGTACATAATCTGAAAACACCTTATTTGATATTATTGTTGATTCATGCTCTAACAGCCAACAGCACCATAATTAATGCTTGAACAAAGCTTATCTAACACCCCTGTTTTCTCCATAAGGCAGAGCACAATCTTCTTGTACTCAGGAATATTAGGCAGCATTTCACAGGGGGGCGGGGGTGGTGGTGGCTGTTTTACAAAGTGAAATCACAAGAAAAAGCAGGAAAAAATGCTAAATAGACTGCAAAAAAGACACATGTTTACTCTGTGACAGCTGAAACACGAAGGCAAAGCATTATTCTGTTCAACCTCAGCTGGGAAAACTTGTATTGGGCGCTCAAATTTTTCACCATTTTGTGAATGTCCACAAATGGCCACAAATTCATGAGTACTGATTTTGAAGTTACAAGTAAATTTTAGTGAGTAGGTGAATTTGCAAATTCAGAATCTCTGAATAATAAGGATCTACTATTTAGAGCTATATTTTCAAGTGCATACCAGTTTGTTATATTTGCTTTTAAAAGGACCATTTTGTCTTTATGTTGTTATTCATTATGTTTTTATTATTTGTTCTTACCTTCAAATCTACTGCTATTCATGTTAATATAACCAAATCAATTTTCTTTATGTTGGTGATTATTTGTGTATCTTTTTCCATCTCTTACTTTCAACCTAAATATATCACTCTCTACAAATTGTGTTGTTTTTTAAAATACGTTTTTATTGATTTTTTTTAGAGAGAGAAAGGAAAGGGGGGGGCAGAGAGAGAGAGAGAGAGACTGAGAGAAACATCAACATTGATGGGCTGCCTCCTGCATGCTCCCTGCTGGGTGGGGATCGAGCCCACAACCCTGGCATGTGCCCTGACTAGGAATCAAACTGGTAACCTCCTGGTGCGTGGGTTGACACTCAACCACTGAGCAACACCAGCTGGGCTCTATAAATTCTGTTTGATTTGTTGTTTTTATACTGTCAATCTTTCCTTTAATTGGATTGGTTAGTCCAGAAGTTGACAAATTTGTTCTGTAATGGACCAGAGAGTATATATCTGCCTTTAATAGTTACAAGGTCTCTTATGGAACTACTAGGTGATGCTAGTTCAGCACAAGAGCAACTATAGACAGTACTAAATAACTGGGTGTGTGTGACTATGTCCCAATGAAACTTGACTGAAAAAGTGGCAAACTGAAATTGGCCAAGGTCATGTTTGCTGACCCTAACCTAAGTATGTATACCTGGGGTTGTGTATTGAGGGTGTAGGATAAAAATTGTAGGAACTTTATATTTGCTTGCTAAAAAAAATTCAAGCAAAAAAATCTTTACTAATGTGCTTATTGATTGTACATGTATATAACTCAAAAATATATACAATAAGTTACAAATACTTTTACTAATTAACTCCAAAGTATAAAATTAGACCCCAAATAGGCGTCTTTATTTTTATTTGTGTTTTAAGCTCTTTACAGTAAGCATAAGAATTGTTTTCATATGTATTTTTCTATGTCACCTAATTCTGAACCCTTCAAATTGAACAGAAGCGTATGCAGGCATCAGTGTCATTCAGGGATGTGACTGTGGAGTTCACCCAGGAGGAGTGGCAGCACATGGGTCCTATTCAAAGGACGCTCTACAGAGATGTGACGCTGGAGAACTACAGCAACCTCGTCGCAGTGGGTGAGCATAGCGCACAACTTACTTTTGTAACTCTGTCTAGAAGGCATTTCTTTTTCAAGCATTAGTACACATGGCTACTTTACTTAGGGCTTTCATTCAGGAGTATAAAGTAACTAAGCCTTGTTGAACAATGTGCTGTCAACTCCCAATGATAAATTCAATGAGGATCTTCAGGCTGCTCTTCCTGAAGCTGCGTCTTTTTCCACTTTTGGAGACCAAAAGGCTTATCCTCTGCCCTAAGTGCTCCATTGTTCCTACTTCTAGGAAACTGCCTTTTCAAACCAGAGGTCATCTTCAAGTTGGAGCAAGGAGAAGAGCCTTGGTTCTTAGAGGAAGAATTCTCAAACCAGGGCCACCACGGTGAGTTACTGAGCACCAGCAGACAGAATTCGGTGGCGCTAGTTAGACTCTAGAAGGTCAGCTTAGCAGCGAACACCTATGTATTTCAAGACTTTTAAAAGGCACAAAAAGCACCAATAGAAGGAAATGATTAACAGACTTTACTAAATTAAAATTGAGCCAAAACCGGTTTGGCTCAGTGGAGAGAGCGTCGGCCTGCGGACTGAAAGGTCCCAGGTTCGATTCCGGTCAAGGGCATGTACATGGGTTGCGGGCACATCCCCAGTAGGAGGTGTGCAGGAGGCAGCTGGTCGATGTTTCTCTCTCATCGATGTTTCTGACTCTCTATCCCTCTCCCTTCCTCTCTGTAAAAAATCAATAAAATATATTTTTTTAAAAATAAAAATAAAAAAATAATAATAAAATTGAGAACTTTGTTCATAAAAGACCATTAAAAGGATGAAAAAAATAAGCCACAGAGTAGCAGAATAGTCATACAATAAAAGTAACCTAAGAAGGATACACATCCTGAAAATGTAAGAACTTTTGCAGGTAAATATAGGTAAAGGTAGCAATCCAGTTGGCTAGAGACTTTGAATAGGAACTTTGAAATGGCCAATTAAATCTTTGAAAATGATTAACCTTATTAGTTTTCACAGAGTGCAAAAAATATATGAGGTGAGATAAGAGAGATGCATGATATGCAATGAGATCCACAAATTTGGTAATGCCAGGCCCTGATGAGAATGTGAAATATCAAAGATCTTCACACACTGAGTGAAAATGTGAACTGGTAAAACCACTGTGAAATTAGGAGGATGTTATCAAATCAAGTTGAAGTTTTACATACCTTGTCACCAAGCAGTCCCTTTCCTAATTGTATCACCTACAGAAAGGCATGATTGTATTCTCTAGAACAGCAGTCGCGAACCTTTCAGACTTCATGGACCACCAGTATCCACAGACCACCGATTGGCGACTGCTGCTCTAGAATGAATAAAAGAATATTTATGGCAATTTTGCTTATTTTTGCCAAAAATTAGGCTCAGCAGAATAAGGAAATAATTGTTTTCCTAAGGGAGAATTATAAAGCTACGTAAAATCTTATATACTGATTATAAATATACTAGAGGCCTGATGCACAAAACTCCTGCAAGAGTAGGCCCTCCTTCCCCCAGCTGCTGGCACCAGCTTCATCTGGAAGGACATCTGGTCTAATTAGCATATTATGCTTTTATTATTATAGATTAAGTAAAAGAAACAAAAAATATAAATATGTCTATATGATTATATGTTAGAAAAAGGCAAAACTCAGTTACATTTTTAAGAAGTCATATATTGGTCTAAAACTATAAAGAAAATACAGGAAATTATTACATAAACATTAGGCGACATAAACATGAAGAAAGTGTAACCAGGGAGAGTCAAATAGGGATTTTTGCAGAGCAATTTGTATTCTGTTTTTTTGACATGATTTCTAATTCCATGAGTTCACTGTATACTGTTATATTGTACATATAAGTTAGATGCAGATATAAATTATGTTTCATGCTTAATGGAGTGTTAAGAGATGAGTAAAAAGTAGATGATATTTGCAAGTTATATAACCCATAAATGATGGGCATTCAGAATACATAAAGAATTTAGACCTTTCTTAAGTGTCGTCTTTGCCTTAAGATTTTCCATAATACCCCATTTAAAACTGCACCCTCATATAAAATTAAAATGTGAAAATTTAGGGTGAGGTAGTGATCAGGGTCACTTATTGTTCAATTTTGATAGATAGAATAAATCAAAGGAGAATCTAATTTGGTTGCAAGAATGGATTTTCCTTTCATCAGTTTTAGTCTTGTTTGTATTACTATATAGACTCACAGCTATAAGGTGGACTAAATCCTTCCCCTTTTGGGCCTAGCCCATTAATGCTCATTAAGTTCTTATTTTTCTTATTACTTAAATTTATAGTCTTGTTGTATCCATCCCATAATCTGGTTTTCCTGCTGTCTAAAATAACCACTCCAATAAAAGTCCAATTTCTATTATCTTTTCATTTTCCATCCAGGTAGCAAAATTCAATCTATCTAAAATTCAAATATAAATATGTATTTATTGCCAGTTTCCTCTCTCATTTTTGCTATATCAATATTTTTTTAAAAGAGAGTGAATAGACATATATCTACATACATATGTGTATGCATGCAAATTATTTAATCTTGAAAAACCAAAAACTGAAATGCAACATAAGGTGTATGTCTGTAAGCCCCACTCACAAAAAAATGTAAGACTCATAAGGTCTTTTCCATTTTTCCCGTGTTAGAACATTACAGAAATGATGACCTGATCAAGAGGAACAAGAAAATAAAAGACAAACACTTGCAGCAAATAACACTGATCAATAATAAGCCTTTGACTAGAAAAGAAGAGGAAATTTGGGGGAAACCATTTACTCTACACATAGCTCCTGTTTCTTCAACAAAAATGTCCTGTAAATATGTCTCATGGGGAGTGAATTTGCAAAATATTTCTCAATATGTCATTAATAGAACCTATTCAACAACAAAAACGGGTTGCTGTAGTGTCTGTGAAAATGTGCCTTTCAAAATTAACTTTGAGAGAACTCATACTGGAGATAAATTTTTTGAATGTAATAAAAATGGGAAAGCCCTCATTTATAAAGAAAATTTTCTTGAGCATCAAAAGTGTCAAATTTTGGAGCAAGGTTCGGAATATAATTCTGAAAAATTCCATGATGAGGCTGCCTTTGTTACACACAAGAGTATTCACACAGGAGAAAAGTCCTGTAAAGATGATGGATATAGCAAAAATCATGATAAGATAAAACTCTTTGATCAAAAAAGCACTGAAACAGAAGATAAATACTCTAATCTTAAACAGTGTGGGAAATCCTTCTGTGAGAAGTCAGCTGTCATGGAACACCATAAAGTTAGCATGGCTGTGAAACACTATGTATATAATGCCAGTGAGAATAATTTCAACAGGAAATCTCATCTCGCTCAGTCTCAGAGAATTGCCACAGAAGAGAATGCATTGGTATATAATGACAAAACACAAACTGGGGATAAATCCGTTGAATATCATGAAAATAGAAAATCCTACCTGATGTCAGCCCACAAAGTATGCCAAAGAACTCACTCTAACATAAAATCCTATAAATGTAATGAATGTGGGAAATCCTTCTGTCAAAAAGGACATCTCATTCAACACCAGAGAACCCACACAGGAGAGAAACCATTTGGATGTAATGAGTGTGGAAAAACTTTCTCCCAGAAGTCTCATCTCAGTACACATCAGAGAATTCACACAGCAGAGAAACCCTATAAGTGTAATGAATGTGGGAAAACATTTGTCCAGAAATCAACCCTCAGAGGACATCAGAGAATTCATACAGGAGAGAAGCCCTATGAATGTAGTGAGTGTGGGAAAACTTTTGTTCAAAAGTCAACCCTCAGAGACCATCATAGAATTCACACAGGGGAGAAATCATTTCGATGTAATGAATGTGGTAAAACTTTTGGCCAGAAATCAAACCTCAGAATACATCAGAGAATTCATGGTGGTGAGAAAACTTATCAATGTAATGAATGTGAAAAATCTTTCTGGCGAAAAGACCATCTCATTCAACATCAGAAAACACACACAGGAGAGAAACCATTTAATTGTAATGAATGTGGGAAAACTTTTGCCCGGACATCAACCCTCCAAGTTCATCAGAGAATTCACACTGGGGAGAAACCATTTAAATGTAATGAATGTGGGAAAAAATTTGTCCGGAAGGCAATCCTTAGTGATCATCATAGAATTCATACAGGGGAGAAACCCTTTCAATGTAATAAATGTGGGAAAACTTTTGGCCAGAAATCAAACTTCAGAATACATCAGAGAACTCACAGCAGGGAGACTTCTTATAAATGTAATGAATATGAAAAATTGTATAAGAAGTCAACCCTAAATGTAGGCCAGAGAATTAAGGGAGGAAGAAAACCCTATTGATATAACAATTAAGGAAAATCCTTCTGGCTAAAGACCAACCCATTTGACATTAGAAAATTCACATAGAATGAAAACCATATAAATATGAATGTAGGAAGAATTTTGTCCAACAGGTAACCCTGAGAGTATATCAGAGAATTTACACAAGCTACTATGGAGAAAGCCCTTTTGAATGCAGTCATGCCCTATTAGAACTCTTGCAATAACAAGGCCTGGTAATCTGTTCACTAGTAAGAATTTCATTTTTCCTCTAGGCACATAGCTAATCTAAATTTCTCAGTCTCCCCTTCATCTACGTGGGACTTTGTGACTGACTAGGGAAATGTGGATGCTCACGTTGTATGCCACATCCAGTTCTGACAAAAGACTTCCCCAACAAGTGACCAGGCTGCTGTAAGGGTAACATGGAGATGACTTCCAGGCCAGCCTGGTATGCTGTGGATTAACGTGGCATGGAACAAGATGAAAGCCAGGGTGCCTGAAATATGTGGAACCAAATTTTCTTCCACATCTTTCCTTTTGAAGATTTTGTGAGCAAGACTTGGGCTTGTATTCTGTTGAGCACTTATTTTTGCAGGTCTGTTTCTGCACATAACTTAACCATCCCAATGCTGGAGAACAGAATACTATTGCGTAAGCCAAGCTTACATCAGCCAGTGGGTACAGTCCTTATTAGAGAGTTGATATGTGAAGGGGTCCTTCAAAGATCATCAGAGAATTTATACAAAAGACTTCCTTTCAGTATCATGAGGTAAGATCATACCACCTGATACTGGGCTTTGGATGAATCAAAAAAGTTGGGAGATCTTAAAAATTGGATGAATGGTGAGCAGCTATCATGTAACTAAAGTAAACCTGGCTTGTTTAACGGCATGAAGCCACGCTCCCTCCACACCTCCTGGCACTTTGCTCTACCCCAACCTCAGCTGCTTTATGGGAAGAGGTTTTCCTGTCTCCAGCGGGGACTCAAGGCCTTTGGCATATACCCAGTTATTCTGGGGAACTTCGAGGGAGGGGAAGGAAAGTGTTTATGGTCCTATAGGATACAGGTACCCAAGTCAACATCTTACCAGTTCCCATGGAGTTAGGGGTACCTAGATTTAGTTATTGTCCTCAGGGAAGGGTTCACGGTAGGGAAGGAAAATGAATGTAACCTTCTCAGTAAATGGGCCATTTGCACCAGTGCAATGTACTGTGGTTACTTCTGTATCTGGAAATAGAGTCAAAATTAATGTAGCCCTGATCAGTGTGGCTCAGTTGGTTGAGCATCGTCCCATCCACTGTGAGGTTGACAGTTCGGTTCCTATTTGGGGCACATGCCTGGATTGTGGGCTCGATCCCCAGTAGGGAGCATTCAGGAGGCAACTGATCAATGTTACCTTCTCACATCGATGTTTCCCTCTCTCTTCCCCTTTCTCTGAAATAAACAATATTTTTTTTAATTTTTAAAAGAAATTAATGTCATATGTTATACTCCCCCTTCCCATAAGGTACAGAGAGAATTCTCCCAGTCAGGAAATAAGATGCCTTTGAGGTCCCACAGCCCTTAGTGGGCTTCAACTCTCTGCCTGATTTTGTTGACTCAAACTTCCAGCAAAAGGAGGCCCCTTGCGGGTGAGGGGACAGGGTGGTTTGACTTGATGCCCTGGAAAAGCTACCAAGCATATCCCCTTTTTAGATACCTATTAACTTAGTCTTGAGCTCTCTTACACTGAATGTCTGCCTCCCAAAGACCTCTGACTTGATTGTGGAGTGTATCATCTTAGACCAACTAACAAGATGGAAAGGACTTCATGGTATGTTCAAGAATACAGCTCTCCTAGTCCCAGCAGTATCAGCCATACATGAAATAGTAGCTATCCCTTAGAGAAGAAGTTTATCCCCACGCTGCTGCCTGGGGCAAAGCTGCTGGCTCAGCAGGGCCCTACATCCACAGAGGTTACTCTGAGCAGCCCTTGTTTCCCTGATGGTGTAACCAGTTGAAATCACTCAGAGCCTGTGACTATTCAACCTGTCACTATGCAGACCCAAAACTTGATGTGTTCTCAACTCCAGCCAGCATTCCCTTTGATCAAACTCGGTGTGTTTTTATTTACTCTTGGGCTCTTACTGTGCCTACCTGACATGTCATATGTAACGCACGCCACAGAATGACAAAAGCAGCCCCCTGGTTCTGTGAACTGTGGGGAAAGGCACAGCTGCTGAGCATCATACCTGGGTTATTTAACTAGATGCCATGGTAAGAGACTATTCTCTGACAAAACTGACTGGAATCAAGTTGTTGATGAAGACTTCACTACCCTGATAGCCAGCATTGCTACCTGGATCAACTGTCCTACTGACAGCAAAACGTCCACCATCATGCACTGGATACAAGGTAAAGGTCTCTGTTTATCAAGTGCCTCACTTGATGTAATTTGATATTAGAATCTATACTTTATTTTCTTCTGGATTAATAGGCAATGTTCAATATACCATTTTATTAATTCACCCCTTTCCTACTGATTTTAAATGTCTTCATATGCTAACTTGTCATTTGTAAAGATATTGCCTGTGGGGCTGCTCATGGCCCATTTCCTACATTCTGTTATACTAGTGTCTCGGTGTACAGATTCATGCACATTGAAAAGAAATTAATTAGAAGAAATATTTTAATATCTCTATTTGTGTCTTGCTAATAAAAAGAAAATAGGATTCTACCGAGTCTCCTATCTACCTACTCCGGACTTCTGTCAGGATCAAATGAGATGAGGCATGGGAAAATGCTTCACAAACATTTGGTTAAACTATAAAATGTTTGCACCTGGCTATAAAGCAAGTTGGGTTCCTGGGCTGAAGAAACTCCAAGGAGGCTAGTTGCTAGGGAGAGGAAGCTGGGCGTTGCTACGTGACGCCATTACCTGGTGCTCACAGACCCTTTCCAAGATGGGCTGGGCTGTGGGCCGCATTTTGCGCCAGGGGGTCTTGGCAGCATTGGCTGCAATTTGGTGGGGTGTTGCTCCAGGGTGGTGGCGGGGTCTGTGTCCCACTTGGGGGAAGCCGAGTGTTGGTTTGTTGGCACCAGGTCTGTGGTGCCATTTATTTTTAAATGGCCAGTACGTGTCATGGCAGCTCCTGCATTGAGCGTTTGCCCCCTGGTGGTCAGTGCTCATCATAGCACTGATGGTTGCAATGGTCGGATGGTTGAACACTTAGCCTTTTATATGTATAGACTAGGGGTCCGGTGCACGAAATTCGTGCACTGGGTGTGTGTGTGGGGGGGAGTGTCCCTCAGCCCAGCCTGCCCCCTCTCACATACTGGGAGCCCTCAGGCGTTGACCCCCATCACCCTCCAATCGCAGGATCGGCCCCTTGCCCAGGCCTGACACCTCTGACAGAGGTGTCAGGCCTGGGCAGGGGACCCTCATTTCCCCCCATCACTGGTTCTGCCCCCAGCCCAGGCCTGATGCCTCTGGCCCAGGCGTCAGGCCTGGGCAGGGGACCCCCAGACCCCTCCGATTGCTGGCTCTGCCCCTTGCCCAGGCCTGATGCCTCGGCCAGAGGCGTAGACCCCCATCACCCTCGGATCGCCTGATCGGCCCCTTGCCCAGGCCTGATGCCTCCACCAGAGGTGTCAGGTTTGGACAGGGGACCCCCATCTCCCCCTGATCACTGGCTCTGACCCCCGCCCAGGCCTGAGGCCTCTGGCCCAGGAATCATGCCTGGGCAGGGGACCCCCATCTCCCTCTGATCGCTTGCTCCACCCCCTGCCCAAGCCTGACGCCTCTGACCCAGGCTTCAGGCCTGGGCAAGGGGACCATCATATCCCTCCAATCCCCGGCTCCGCCCCCCACCCAGGCCTGATGCCTCTGGCCCAGGCATCAGGCCTGGGCAGGGGCCCGCCCAGGCCTGATGCCTTGGCCAGAGGAGTTGACCCTCATCACCCTCCAATCACCAATCACCGAATCGGCCGCTTGCCCAGGCCTGAGGCCTCCGGCAGAGGTGTCAGGCCTGGGCAGGGGACTCCCAGCTCCCCGCAATCTCCCGCTCTGCCCCTGCCCAGGCCTAACACCTCTGGCCGAGGCGTTAGGCCTGGGCAGGGGACCCCCAGCTCCCCACGGTTGCAGGCTCCGCCCCTGCCCAGGCCTAACGCCTCTGGCCGAGGCGTCCGGCCCGGGCAGCGGGGACCCGCAGCTGCAGTGGCCCCGTGATCGTGGGCTCCACTTTAGGCCCAGGCAAGGGACCCCTAGCTCCTGGGACTGCCAGCATCGACCGTGCCCAGCTCCCATCGCTGGCTCCACCCCTACTTCCTGCTATCACTGGCCAGGGCGGCAAAGGCGCCTGATTCTCCGATCATGGCTGGGGGGCAGGGCAAAGGTGGCCCCAGGGCCGCCTTTGCCCTGCCCCCCACCTCTTAGCTCCCCCCTGGGTTTCTGATCACTGTCAGTGGCAGGGGGCTTCTTCCTGCTTTCCCTTTTGCCTCCCTGCATTGTGCCTACATATGCAAATTAGCTGCCATCTTTGTTGGCAGTTAACTGCCATCTCAGTTGGCAGTTAATTTGCATATAGCCCTGATTAGCCAATGAAAAGGGTAGTGCCATATGCCAATTACCATTTTTCTCTTTTATTAGTGTAGACTAGAGGCCCGGTGCACAAAAATTTGTGCACTTGGCGGGGGGGAGGTCCCTCAGCCCGGCCTGTGCCCTCTCACAGTCTGGGACCCCTCAGGGGATGACCATCTTCTGGCTGAGGCCTGCTCCCCAGGGGATTGGGCCTAAGCTGGCAATCAGACATTCCTCTGGCAGTCCGGCAGTCCTCAGGGGATGTCCACTTTCCAGCGGGGAACAGACCTAAGCTGCAGTCAAACATCCTTATCACTGCTGAGGAGGCAGGAGAGGCTCCCACCACCACCGCTGTACTGGCAGCCATCAGCCTGGCTTATGGCTGAGCAGAGTTCCTCCATGTGGGAGCTCACTGACCACCAGAGAGCAGCTCCTGCATTGAGCATCTGCCCCCTGGTGGTCAGTGTGTATCATAGTGACCAGTCATTCCCAGTCTTTCTGCTGTTAGGGTCAGTTTGCATATTACCCTTTTACTATATAGGATAGAGGCCTGGTGCACAGGTGGGGGCCGGCTGGTTTGCCCTGAAGGGTGTCCCGGATCAGGGTGGGGGTCCCGCTTGGGTGCCTGGCCAGCCTCGGTGAGGGGCTGATGGCTGTTTGCAGCTGGTGGCACCCTCTTCAGGGTGGGGGTCCCCACTGGGGTGCCTGGCCAGTCTGGGTGATGAGATGATGGCTGTTTGCAGCTGGTCACACCCCTTTCATGGTGGGGGTCCCCACTGGGGTGCCTGGCCAGCCTGGCTGAGGGGCTGATGGCTGTTTTCAGGCTGGCAGGCGACTGAAGC